TGTTGCATAGCACATCTTACCTACCGCAAAGGAGTGAAAACGGCTCCCACCCTCCTAGATGCTAAAAATTCATCACGGAGTGAGACTTTTTTTTTTTTTTTTTTAAAGATTTTATTTATTTGACAGAGAGAGACACAGCAAGAGAGGGAACATAAGCAGGGGGAGTGGGGGAGGGAGAAGCAGGCTTCCCACAGAGCAGGGAGCCCGATGTGGGACTCGATCCCAGGATCCTGAGATCATGACCTGAGCCGAAGGCAGACGCTTAACGACCTAGCCACCCAGGCGCCCATTACAGAATGAGTCTTAACATGTGCTTTATTAACATGGGTTTGCATAACTCTTGCCACTTACTGGATGTGTGCCTTTGAGAAGTTGCTCAAGCCTCAGATCTCTCATCCGCAAAATGGATTCCCATTCACTTTTAAAGTTCTTGTGAGAATAAAGTGAGATAATGTGATGAAGGGCTTCACATCACATTTAAGACACACTATAGTTGTTTCATGAATGTGGAATGAATGAAATGCCCAATTAGTGAATGAATATATCATTATTATTATCACAGTTTTCTATGTTGTGTGCACTTGGCCACATTCAATTCTGTCCGCTTCCAATAACCTGTGTTTCTGGAGATTCTTTCCATTCAGAGAAGAATCTTTTTACAGACTTCATTTCTTTCCCCAACTAGAACTCTCTCAGGCAGCTGGTACATAAAATGCCAGTCAGGGAAGTATTTGATCCCCATCAGGCCTTGCCTGCCATCCTGCTTTCCTTGACGACATGAACCCAGTCTTCTCTGAATTTTTGCTAACCCCACACCTCATTCTAATGTTCCGAAAACAGCTCTCAGTGCTGTCACAGCCCTGAAGCCAAGGGAACGCACACATCAGATGACTTTCCTTCTATCTTACAGATGAGCCAATGGAGGGAATGTTTTAGGCAGATGGGTCTGTTATTGGAGAAAGGGGTTTCAAAAGGCTGCTGAGGCCCATCTCCCTCTGGCTTTTCCTTCTGCTGGGTTTCTGCCAAAGCAAGGGGGTGCGAGCTGAACATGGGAGAGAAACCCTCCATGACAGTGACTTGTTCAGAGGCAACCATACCACCACTGAGCCTGTGGTCCTTCATAGGACAGCTCTTGGAAGCCATGTGGAAGCTAATAGAACTCTTGATCATCTTATAGGGCTAAGTGGACAAGGCGGGTTACACATTTTCAAAATTGTGGTGAGATTCATCATCTTTTCTGAGCTAAGAATCTATTCAGTTCTTCTGGAGCATCCTTAACCTTGTTATTCCTTTCCCAGTGCATCTTCTGGGCAAGACACACCATGTCCCTCCTCAAGGACAGCAAAAGGGAGTGATGCTGATTCACCAAATTGCCAAAATGTGTTTCCTGAATGTTGAATTATGGGCAGACATTTATCTCTGTTTACCCTTCTGAAAGTCCTTGGCAAAAAAGACAGGATGTACCTCCAAAACACAGCACTCTCAAAACTGAAAGAACACTATTCTAACAACAACCTTGTCTCTCTGGGGCTTAGCAGGCTCTGTGTTACTCATCGTGGAACAGCTAAAGTCTTTTTCTAAATTTTATTGGTTACCATTTTGGTAAGAGTGAAATTGTTGAAATTCTGAGTGAGACATGTTTGTATATACAGGCAGCAGATGAAATTAACAAGATGAATTTAAGAGCACTTTGGTTTTAAAGTACAACACACTTTAGTCTGCCTTTCTCTGTCTTGAGTTGGGCTGTGGCAGGGGGATGGGGCAAAGCTGGAATTGCAGTGTTTTCAAGTCCCATCCTGCCTCTGACTTCCTCTGGGATCTTGGTTAAGGGGCTTCACCTCCATGGAACTGAGAGGTTCTTCACCTGTAAAATGGGACAGTAACTACCCCCCTGGGTTCATTTGATAACACTTACAGAGAGTAACTAGCACAGGACTTAAAAGTGATAGGTTAAAAAAAATCCAGCCAACACTTATTAAGCATCTACTATATACTCTGGGCTGACGTGCTGTGCACTGGCCCACTCTGGGGTCACCATTCACATTTTAATCATTGGAGCTTTATGAATTATTAGGACTATTTTTTTTTTAACCTGGCAGAAAATAAATTGTTTTGAGGAAGGTATACCTTTTAACAATTTACACAAAGGCACCATGTAAGCTAGCAAAAGCTGGGCCCATGGGCAGGACACAAATTACTAGGTAATGGGAAAAGACAACATAGAAATGCAAAAATCTCACCGGTTGATTGTTGTGTTGAGTCCTGAAAGAGCAGGAATCTGCAAGGTCAAGGAGGAAGGAAAAAGCATTCCTCACAGAATGAAAAGCTACTGAAACTCAGCAGTAGTGGTGATTTTGAAACATGTCCATAAATTCTTGGATATTCCTTCCTTTGAAAAGATGAGGTCTAGGGGCGCCTGGGTGGCTCAGTTGGTTAAGCGACTGCCTTTGGCTCAGGTCATGATCCTGGAGTCCCAGGATCGAGCCCTGCATCCGGCTCCCTGCTCAGCAGGGAGTCTGCTTCTCCCTCTGACCCTCTCCCCTCTCATGTGCTCTCTCTCTCTCTCTCTCATTCTCTTTCAAATAAACAAATACAGAATCTTTAAAAAAAAAAAAAAAGATGAGGTCTAACTCTCCTCTCCATGAGTGTGGGCTGTATTTAGTGATATGCTTTTAATGATCTGAACATGGCGGAGGTGTGCGACTTCAGTTGTTGGATCATAAAAGGCACGGTGTCTTCCTCATTGCTTTCTCTCTTGGGTTACTCCCTTTAGAGGAAGCCAGATGCCATGTTGTAAGGACTCTTGCCACCATCACATGGTTCATCTTGGAGTTTTAGATTCTCCAGCCCCAGTCAAGCCTTCAGAGGATGCAGCCCCAACTGACATTTTGTGTGGAGCCTAATGAGATACCCTGTGCCAGAACCATCTGACTAAACCACTCTGGGATTCCTGACCCACAGAAAGGGAGGTAATAAATATTTATTGTTTTAAGTTGCTGAGCTTTGGGGAAATTTGTTTTGCAGCAATAGATCACTAACACAGTGGCAAAAAGCTCCCAATGGAAACTTCCTCTGCTTGGAGCCTAGGGGCCTGGGGACACAGAAAATGGGGTCTGAAAGATAAATGCCCAATATTCTCTGATAAGAAGTTAGGATTTATGCTTTCAGCAACATATTCAAGCTAGAGGACGTTTTTACATAGAGGAGTGACATGATCAGCATTATGGTATCTTTGGCATGAAATAGGATGGGAAAGGAGATTGGTTGGGGGCTGAGGGGCCTCCAGTTAGGAGGTTACAGGAACAATAGTTCAGGTATGAAGATGAAAGCCTGAATTAAGACAATGGCAGAGGGGGTGGATATTGGGAGGACTGCCTTAAAATTTGGTTTTCAGAAACAACCAGTATTTAGGGCCATCCTGTGAAATCTTGCTTCACTCCACATTGCGTCCGGGGACAAGTATGCTGAACTACACGACAACTGTATTCCTACCAACATGATCATTACCATCACACGCACACACGTGTGCATGCACACACAAGATACTTTTCATGCACTAACAGAATCAGCACTTTGTAAAAAGGACTTCACAATTAGGAAATGTCTCACTCGTAGGATTTAATATTAAGCCTTTGAAACGGTTCTTTATAGAAACTAATTTCAAGAACAAAAAAGAAAATAATGAGCTCCCCCCTTCCATAAAGGGAACCAAAAGGCTCACATTTATCCTTTGTACAAATAAGGCCACGGAGGATTAGACTGAATTATGGTGGGACACAGATTAAACATGGTTTTGAAATGCTGGAAACTTCAACAGAATCCATGACTAAAACAGCATTGACAGTGATATTAAATTAGCTAAGAAGTGCTCGCCTCCCAAAAAAAACTGGTGTCCTTAGAAAAATAGCATCTATTTTTGGTATTTCAATAGCTCTAGAAAGAGATGGATATATAAATGCTAAGCCATGAATACTTCAAATGGCCACATTTCTGCCCTAATGGTGAGGGAAGAATATATATATGTATATGTATATATGTGTATGTGTGTGTGTGTGTGTGTGTGTATATATATACTTATTTTGAATTAAATGAAAGAAACCTATTTTCATTCTATAATCTTGCATGCACTGTGTCATCACCACTGAAAGCTACATTTCCAAATGTTTTTTCTGGGAAGTAGAGTTCTAGTGGAACTGATAATTAATCAGAGAACCAGAAAGAATTCCCACACTAGCAGAGAGAGGGTCAAGGAACCACACTTGATTTCCAGAAGGAAAAAGTTACAAACAGTAATAGTTGGGAATCTTTATCATTTCTGCATCTGAAAAAATGCTTTTTAAACAATGTTTTCTTCTACATTTACACAGTATATGGAACTTTTGAAGCAATGTTAATCTTCAAATGACTTGATTCACTAGATACTTGAATACTCAGCATCCTAATAAGAGGAGATAAGATTTGTCCACTAAGAGGAATGCTGTTTCTCTTTAGGGTGAGCATCTATGTTCCTTGAGGCAGAGACTGTGTGTCGTTGACCACAGCAGTCCTGTGCCTACTGCCAGGCCCAAAAAGGGGGCCACTCACCAAATGACCTGTTGAAAGAGGAGTGAACGAACGAATGAGTGGACAAATGTATGAACACGTGTAATGCTAATGATGTTGGGCTTGTACAAATAACATTCAAAGGCAGGTCTCCGCTGTAAGAACTCATAAATATTTACAACTGAAGGTCTTGCGGAAGATGTGAAAAATTCTTATGTTTTAAGAAAAGGTAAAAATACCTCAAGTGTGAACTAAGTAAAGATGAAGCAGCATATTTTAGGAACCTTGACAAAACTATTTTAGCAAAAGCACACTGCTATCGCTGTTCAGAATAACTGATATGGCGAAAGTCACTTAATGAAAACATGTTCCTTCGAGGCTACCAAAAATCTGCTTCTGGCCCACAGTCCAAAGTTAGACTTTTCATGGCGGGTGCAAAGAAAAACCACCACCATTAGTGCCTGCACCAGAGCTATTTATTAGCGTAACTTTTTCTTTTTTCTTAAAGATTTCGTAACAACTGAAGTATGTACAAAGTCTTACAGCATTTACACCATAAAAAGTTCCCCATTAGCTGATGAAGTCTAAGGTAGTGCGGCTGAGAACTTCAGAGCATGAGTACGGATCAATGCAGCAGACCGCTACACGTTTTTACCTCTCGGCTACCACACACCACCGTCAGCTGGTCCACAGCTAACGAGGCACCTGCAAGACAGGTTACTGGGGAAAACGGGAACGAGTCGATATGCAGCACTAGAGACCAAAGGGTGGAAAAGCATCATGTTTCTACAGTTTCCTAGAGCTGTAACAAAGGTCCACAGCCTGGAAGAATAACATATGCAAGACAATACGATCGCACTGCTCAGATATGGTTCGGCTACGAAAGGTATTCGCTTTTGAATGGGAGGCTCTATACTGATATGGCTGGTATTTCCATTTGTGTTCATGTCTTCGGATAGCTCACCCCCGCACAAGCCCCACCCGCCTCTCCCAAATAAATCAACAACACAGGGAGGGAAGGAGAGAGGGAAGAGAGTCAGCATAGAACTAGTTCTTGATCAAAAAAACAAACAACTTTTTTTTTTTTTAAGACATTTAGTATCAGCTTTAGGATGGCCATTCCCGTCAAAAGATTAATAGTAGAAATTTCGGAATCAACCCAAATCAGAGAACAACATCAACAAAACCCCCAACCCCCAAACTCCTAGATTTAATCACCTTCATTGTTTCTGATTGTCTTTCCTTGGGGTATTACACAGAGCACCAACATTTACACACTTAATCGGACACAAAACGTAGCACTGTTGCCCCAACCATCACTTTAGTAAGTGGCAGGAGAATTCCAATATGCAAATGATTAATTTAACATCAGGCTCACCGCTTTCTTCCTCAGAAAACCCAGCGTGGTTCTCTATCTTAGGTCAGTCACTGTATCTGTTTGGTAGCAGATCCCACTGGTTTTTTCCCCATTGTTTCGGGCTCACATGTAGGCAAATTGGCTTTTTATTTCAAAAAGATTCTACTCTCAACTTAAAAGCCAGTTGATAAAACTTTTAATTAAGACACAAGAGCGCGGGATATAAAAACACAAGAACCACATAAATATTGAAGAAGTTGTATACCGTTTTTCGTGTAAACAGTTTTGCTTAAGATCGAAGCCCTAATCGGATTCTGGCCCGAAACTCTTGGCAGACGGCGTTGTGTTCAGCCAGGCTCTGCAGCGATGGTTCACGTGGAAGCCAGGTCAGTCCCCATGTTGACAGGCATGCAACTTGGAAACATTGCACAACAAGCAACACAAAGAGAGTGGAGAAGCTCACAACACTTCAAGGAGACCTCACAACCTTCACGACTGCGGATGCACAGAGACCCACCCCTCCCTCCTTTGCACGCACTTTGTCTTACACGTGGGAGACCTTCTGTGACTCTCTAGCTTGTTTGATGCTATATAACCACTTGATGATCCTAGCATTTCTTTCGATGGCAGAAATGCCATATGGCACCCGGTCATTGGCACTGTCATCATTTCTAAGGTCACTGTTACTGTCCTGAGACTGTTCGCAGTCTGAGCTGATCATGCTTGCGCTGCGGAAGTTGAGGGAGATGATGTCGGAATTAGCCCTTGCAAAGTTTTCCATTCCAAGGTTTTCCAGCTCTTCGGGGTCCAGTCCGCAGTAGTTGAAGAACCTCTCCACGTCTGCGTCCACGCGGAAATACCTGTCACTCAAGTCCGACTTAGACCGCTGGAGCGAGGGTCTCCGGCTGACTCCGCAGGCTGGTTCCCCCGGGTCGGCTTCAGGGGACTTCACGGTGGCCATGGCCGCGACCTTGGGTTTGGGAGGCAGAGGAGGGGCGGAGCTACTGCAGGGGATCGCTTTTAGGGGCTTCACACTGGTCACTTTGCGGATGTCCGAGGAGCTGTGGGAGACATGGAGAAAGGACTCGGCCGACTGCTCCAGGAGCCTCCTGCCCACGTGGGAGCCGCCTTCCTGCGGGCTGCCGCGGCCCTGCGTGGGGTACACCTTCAGGGACTCGGCGAAGGAGTGCCGATGCAGGTCGGTGGAGTCTGGCCGGTGGGGCGGCCAGTTCCGGGAGCTGTGCTTGTGCCCCGAGCCCGAGCTGGAGCCCTCGGAGCTGTTGATGATGTTTTTCAGGATCTCGAGCTTCAGGTTCTCCCTCTGCACGCCACTCTCGGTCTTGGCGTGGCTGCCGAACACCCGGAGCGTGGGGCTGCCCAGGGCGCGCTTGGCGGCCGGGCACACGGGGGGCTTGGCCAGCACGGCCGGCTTCACGGGCTCCTGCTTGGCATTGATGACCTCCTGACTCTTGACATACTTGGCCTTGTCCGCTTCCAGCCTCTCCACGGCGCTGAGTCTTTTGGGGTTGGGCTCGGCCTGCCTGCGAAAGTAGTCGGGCCCTTTGTTGAGGATGCGCAGGGGGACCGCCGAGGTGAAGGTGCCCGCGGGGCTGACCGGCTTCACCATGCTACCTGTCTGTAGGGTCTCCGTGGGCATGGTGGGTGGTCTCTCCCCGGCAGCCGTGTTGGATTCTGGTCTGGGCGCCTCCGGATGCGCTGAATAGACACATGTACATGAAGCACAAAGGGCAGCGGACGGAGCCTGGAACCTGGGTGTCAGCAGCGGCAGCGGCGCCTCATCTCACAGCTCATTAACTCGCACCGGGCCTCTAATTCACTTTCCCCCTTTCCCAAAGGCCACAAGCCACAAGTTCCTTTAATCTGCTTAGCTGCCTCCTTTCTTCCCCCGAAGGATGTGGGAGTCTCCTCCAGGTCTTTGTGCTCGACTGCAGGCAGAGCTGAAACACACAACAACCAACCGCGGGTTAGGATGGGCGAGTGACATCACGGCTGTAGCAACAGAGAAAGCCCGCGGCGCCCCCGCCTCCGCCGGGCCGCTTCCGGGCCGCGATTCCCGGGGTCCCGGAGCGCGGACCGCCCGCGCGCCCTGGCGCCCGCAGTCGGACGCGGGTGCTCGGGGACGGAGAGGGGCTGAGCTTTCCCACGCGTGGGCTCTTGCAGCCACGTCCCCATGGGTGAGATCCGCCCCCGATCACGCCCGGCTGGCATTCCTTGTATCAAACCCAGGAAATCCTGGCTGAACGTGGAAATGCGGGTTTGGCAGAGCCGCGTTCCCAGTTCACTGAACGGCCCTGGGTCCCTACGAATCCGGTATCTCTGCTTTAGGCTCCGGCAGCGGTGAATTAGAATAGGTCTCTTTCTCAATGAGGCAAAACTTCTAATTTCTTACTACCCAACAATGTCTCTCTCGGTAAGATCTGAAACAGGCACTTCTTTAACTCTTCAAGAACTGAAAATGTTGGCAAGAAACCGGATTGGCAGCAAAGATGAAAAAAAATTTTAAAAGCGTGTTTCAGTTATCTTAACTTCTGCCAGCCAATATATTTGAAAACACTTTCTCCCGAAAACAGACTATGTATAAAGTTCCTCCTGTTAACTACAAGCTTGTTTTTTTAATTCAACAAGAAAACTAGAAAAACCTCTAGATTAACCTTGTAACTAGATAATTTGAGTGCTCCATGATTTTTCACATCTAATGAGCAGAAATCAAAAGTTTCTCTGTGGTATGTATTTCCCCAAATCCCCTAGGGAACTAAGAATACAATCTCAAGAGGTCAATCATATCTAAATATGTTAGAGAAAATTGGTATAACAGTTAATTATTCATGGCTTTCTGAACAATTTGACCACCCCCTCCCTCAACCAAAACCACTATAAGGAAACTTTATCAGTACTCCCAATATAAATCCACAGGCCATCTTTCTACTTAGGACACAATATATGTAGCATTTTTCTAAGGACAATTCCTCTCTCTGCCTGTTACTGCTGGCAGAGAACATTTTTGAAGGCATCAGGATCCCAAAGTAACTGGTTACAGACTTTTTCAGCATCTTTGGTTGTAATTAGGAATATTAAGGGTAATGTATTCAACTAACATCAAATAACTAATTTATAAAATAGAGTGGTATTACTATAAAAGCATCTGCTCTCATAGTAAGAAAATGAAGTGTCTATTAAGAACAAGCTTGGAGGTGGGGGAAGGGAAGCCTGATTGTTCTCCTTTATCATCTTTTAAAAACTTAATCTCAGGGGCATCTGGGTGGCTCAGTCATTAAGCGTCTGCCTTCAGCTCAGGTCCCTGGGTCCTTGGATAGAGCCCCTCATCCATCGGGCTCCCTGCTCCGCGGGAAGCCTGCTTCTCCCTCTCCCACTCCCCACTTGTGTTCCCTCTCTCGCTGTGTCTCTCTCTGTCAAATAAATAAATAAAATCTTTAAAAAAAAAACACCTTAATCTCAAATACACCCATCACCATGTTTTGTTAAAAGACAATTTTGGCAATCTGCAAAAGCATTTGTTCTAATAAAAATATTTTCCGATGCGAGATTTGAGAAGCCCCAAGGCAATTCCTACATAATGACTTCCTTTAATTGTGCAGTTCTATTATGATACTTCAATTTAGTTGAAAAAGCCACCTCCTTCCCCCCTCTCATGAAGATTAAGTGAGACTGTTTCTTTGAACAAATTTTGAATGAAATGGCGGAGGGGAGTAGCAAGTTCTCGGCGGAGCTTTCTGCATTTCTTCATCCACCACCCTGGGTCCACCTGACTGGGAAGGTGAACCGGGGACCCCTTCACTGAGAAGCTCAGAGCCAGAACAGGTAGCAGAGCCTGGGCTCAGAGGCAACCCCACTGGTTCTTTCCAGAGCGCTTGAGAGAGGGTTGCCCCACCCACTCCACTCCAGCTTCACATCTGGGGCTTCCAAATGTGTCCAGAGATGGGACAGTGGCAGTACATTTGGGGGCAGAGTGAAGGACAGGCCTGAGATTTGCGCCCATCAGCTTTGTGCTTAAGGACCAAAGCAAACCTCCCGCAAGGCAAGCAGGAAGGTGGCCCAGTGGGTGGTAGGTGACAGAGCTCATACCCCTTTCTCCTGGGGCCTCCTCTCATCACCTGTGATATGAAGTGCTTGGATGAGATTCCCCAGATCCTTTCTCCCTCTAAATCATGTGGTTCTGAGGAGCTAAGAATGAATGAACTATTTCCAATTTCAAAATGGCATCCGGGACTATTGGCCCGTGACTGCACCATGGTTCCTGCATTTACTGTTCTTAGGAAAATATCCTCTGAATGATGAATTGTCCTGATCATCTAATGTGAACTGGCTTTATAGCCCACGGTGGCCTGCATGACTATCTTCCCTTCTAATTCCATCATATGAGGACCAGAAGCCCAAATATCTACACTGCCACCGACCCAACTTTGCAGCATGCCCCGTCTGTGACAGTGGGTTCTGGGTCCATTGGAACCCTAAATAAGAATCGTTACTCTTAACTCACAAGACTGACGGACACTGGTCTATTTATTTACCAGGGTGCATGCCTCAGGAAGCTCACTTGGCCTGCTTTCACACTGTTTGATTTCTTCCCCCAAAAAAGGCGTGAAAATGGGTAAATGGAGGCAGATGCCCTCAGAAGGGCTCCTGTGGGCACACCCATTTGCTCCAAGCCATCTAACCTTGGGGAGCAGTTTCTAGAACAAAACCAGTGTGAAAGGATTATGTGAGAAAGACAGTGATTGTAACCACTTTCTACTTCATTTCCTTTTTGTTCCGCCCCTCCCCTCTCTCCTCTGTCATTCCCAATTGCCCTAATAATTTTCAACACACTGATATTTACACATGACCGCGTTCGGAGTTTAAAAGTTTTAATTTGAACTCTGGAGAGGACAAGAAAAAGCATCTTCCCGGAAGAATCGAAAGCAGAAGACAATGCTGTAGGAGCAGATCGGGTGCTAGAGGACCTGTTTTAGCCAACAAACTATACCAACTTCAGACAAAATGAAGGTGCCTTAGGCTGCTCCTTCTTCTAGTACTTCTATAATCCCTAACTTCTGTCCTTTTACTTTTCAATGCTTCAACAGTGTGGACTGGGACAGAGATGTATATTCCCAGAGTTCTGTAGTGTAGACTTTGTTACGATGTGGACCAAGTACAGTTGAAAAGACGAATGAAAAGACGAATCACATGGTAGGTGACACACCTGGAAACCTGGGGCTATGTCTCGACGTCATTAATGTGACAACCAGGAACTGTGCTCAGGGAGCACCACGGCACGTGACCCCCCCCTCGCCCCGGCTGATGCATCCCTGTCACCGGCCCCTGACACCTGGGCAGATGCCTCAGGTGTGGCCAGGAGAGGCTGCTATTTCCTCATCTTGCTCCAGGAAAGGAAAATCAGCTCTCAGCTGCATAGGACTGCACAAACCACAGTCATTATACAGTCCTGCTTGATCCCTGACTTATGGCTCAGAAGAGGGAACATATAAGCCGGAGGGAGAGAGAAAGGTACACTCGCAAACTATTGGGCTACATTCAACCCCGTTGAATAACCATTCGAACATTTTGTGAAAGTCTAAAATGAACTGGAGAATAAAGCTTGGCAGAGTCGAGGTGCAAAACGGTCCGCTGAACCAGGGCACACGTGAACTCCACCGCGATCTGGCCTGCCGCCTCCTTCCCAATGGAGAATCGGGGCTAGAGGGGTCACGCTATCTGTGTGGGAGCCCTGCTCTGGCCGGGGAGGGCTGAAGCGGCATACCAGCCAGGGACAGAGGGCCCAGAAACAAACGGTGACTCCCACTCACTTTGGCAGTGTTTCTCCAACTTGAATGTGCCCGCGACTCCCTGGGGATGTCCTTGAAACGCAGGGTTCTGAAGTAGGTTTGGGGTGGAGCCCGAGCTCCTGCGTTTCTCGCAGATCCCAGGTGATGCCCAGGAAGCCGGTCCAGCAAGCATCAGGTTAGAGCTGAAACACCTCTGGCACAGAGGAAAGCCAACCAGGCTTTCTTGTCTCGTAAATGAATAAAAGTCTGGGGCTTTGGGGGCACGGAAATAGCAACCAGAGAATTCAAAACTTGTAAAACCAAAGCGGCCTGAACCTACCTTCAAATCTGCCAGCTACTCACAGGGGCTGCTAGGTAAAGACTAGAACCGTGACATTGGGGAGACCCAGCGCGCTAGGACTAAGAGCATTTGCAACCCTGAAGGCAGTTAAGGAGAGAAAATGAGCCTTGAAACATATGCTTCATACGAAAAATGCTTAAAGGTAAAGTTCCTAGAATCCAGGTACCACGCGCCTCAACCTCTGAGGTAGGGCTGATCATGGGCGACTGCGGCCTCCAGCTAAGGGCTGCTATGGGGACTGCCCGTTCACTGTGGAAGCAGCAAGTCCAGATCTCTGCAGAAACTCCCGATTTTAAAATTCAATTTGTGAAACGCTGTGGGCCAAGTGCTTCTGGTAAGTAAAAAGAAGGAGACAGTTAATGCCTAATTGGTCTTTAAATTTTAAGTAGGAAGAAAGCACTGCAGTTAGAGCAAGGACCCCGGGATTGAACACAGTCCTAGACCCACCCATCGAAGTTTCTTAAATATGTGAAGACTGGCCATTTCCCACATGCCTTACGGCCCAGAAAAGGTGGTAATATTGCTGTCAAGAGGGAGCCTAATTCAAATTCCAATCACCGAACATCTCAGCGACGTGACCTTATCTATGAAAATTGAACTTGTTGAATTCGGTGAGCTTGAAAACGTCTTCAGTTCAAACATTCTTGGAGGCAAATCACAAAAGAAGCAGTTTACCTTTGAGGTTAATAAGGGTTCTCGAAGAACACATCTTTCTAATTTCCTAACATGTCTGATCACAGAACACTGACAATATGTATACAATTGTGCCATGTCACTTTCTGACTTTTTTTGTAATAGTATTTATGCTACTGAC